ATCTGTTGCTGATCTCAAGGGGTGGGAGGGCATATATGGACACAAGCCTTCCTTTAGATATCCAGGTCCCAAGATATGGTATAATCCTTTGGTAGGTACAATCATATGATCAAGAGTCTGTGCATGACAATAACTTACTGATGAAGACATCAATTAGTTTGTAGATAAAACCATCTTCAGGCACCTCTCAATCAATGCAGTAAACATATGAGGGGCTAGCAAAATTGTGCCCACTAGCCACATTTCCTCCTGCTGTGCCCACTGGCAATGGCAGCTGGTGACTTCATGTTTATCCATAGTCTGAAGGGGACCCTACCTGCCTTTATCTGTACACATCTGTATCTGCGTGCTTTCTCCCTGAGATTGCAAACCCTGATTGGCCATGCAGGTGAGATAAAGCTACCACCTCAAGAGTTCCCCGAATACATGGTGGCATGGATGTCTTCAAGGAAAGGCCTCACCTGCCGAGGTCTCACACCCGAGCTATTGACATGAGCCCCAGAGACCTGCTTCTCCTCTTCACCATCACAGCCTCATTGTTCATGGGATCTAGCCTCTTGATCTAGCCTGGACAACAGAGGAACAGTAGACATCACTGCCTATATGATCACAATCCTCTGCCTCTCTGTCTGGTCTAGTTCTACCTCCACCAGTTGGACAATGGAGCTGGCCGTGCCATGTTACTTATCAGGACCAGATCTCATATTTAGAGGTATAGCATCTCTGAAAAACACAGACATTCTTCTGGAGGCATCCTGGATAATTGTCATTTTATAGAGCGATCCACAAGAAATCTCTGTGTGAACTTAGTCCTGTGGCAGCTTAAAGACTAACACATTTATTCCATCATAGGCTTTTGTCTCCACTTTCTCAGATAGATGAAATGTTCATTTCTATATCTATGACTACATCATCTATCTATATCTGTATCTATCTATATATCACCCCCACCATTTTTCCTTCAAGGAACTCAAGGCAGCTTATAGGATTCTCCTTCTTATCTCAATCTTATTCTCACAACCCAAACCCTGTGAGGTAGGTCTGGGCTTCGAATCGACCAATCTATATACACTGGTGGTGGGACCGGTATTTAGGAGGAGAGATGTCAACCATATTGTCAGAGGGAACTGAATTGCAAAAAGTAAAGTCAATTACCTGAAAAAGGACATTCACAATATGCAGTTGCCCTTCCACAAAATACAGAAGACATCATTGCAATATCAGGTGAACTGGCACAAGTAGCATGATTTTCAAAAATGCCTTTGGCCTCTTTACCTGTGGCTTGAACCTCTTGGTGAATGACACTGCAGCAATTTTACATGCATAGAAAGATAGGACCGGGAGGACTCCGAGGGATGGCGGAGGACAGGAGAGCCTGGAGGAATGTTGTTCATGGGGTCATGATGGGTCGGGCATGGCTTTGAGACTAAACAACAAAGAAAGATAGGAAGCTGCCTTAAAAACAAAATTAGACCATGTGGTCCATCTGGCCCAGTACTGACTGGGCTCTACATGACAACTCATCACAATAGGTGATGAGTTCCCAGAAGGTGGACCAGTTCCCAGAAGGTAGCTTATTTGTCAGGAACAATCCATCCTGACAACCCATGGTTTGTTTTAGGGGTCATTCATAACATGATGGGTTCTTGTGTCATCCAGAGGAGCAATTCCACTGTGGGTTATCCTGAAACGAGAGCAAGAAAACCACCTGCCGTGGTTTGTCATCTTGCCTGTGCCACCAGCAGTGTCCACCCCTTCACAAATGCCCGAGCAGCACCCTTTTTCCTTATTCAGCTGCAGAAAATTGTACAACAATATTAATTATATTCATCAATCATCAGGCTTTCCTAAGTGCACAAGTGAGCACTTAACAGCTGCCCAATATGTGTAGTTCTGCCTGGCTGTTGTTTAATAATGTTTCAGCTCCCCCTCCTTTTCAGAGCAATTTCTTCAGGTGAGGAAATTTTCCTTCCATTTTTTTCCCAGCCCTTAAATTGGTGTATATTTCTTCATTTCATTTTTGAACTGACAGAGAACCTCAGAAACAACTAAGTGCTCCAGAAAGAAGCCATAAAAAGCAGGGGGCAGCAAGCTAATATCTCCTCTTCCTGCAGTAGCTGGAGACCCAAAGAAGCGCTCAACAGGTAAAGGGCACTGAGACCTGCCAGTTCAACAATTGCAACAGAGTTAATTATGTTGCTAACAGAGATATGTTTTTCCCTCCCCATTTATTAAACTTTCTTTTGCCTCTTTCCCTTCTTTTACCAGTGCTTTTCAATTGACAACTTGGCAACTGGACCCTGGCAACTGTGCACAAATTAGCACATGAGCAATCTCATCTTGTCAGTTTCCATGTCTGTCACTTACACCATTGGAAGTGCTTTGACAGCTGAAACTGACATGGAAAGTGAACAGACAAGACTGTACATACTGGACACCCATAACAGCATACTTGTGTATTTATAAAAGTCCAACATCAAAAGGAAAGGAAAGAAATTATGAACAGAGGTACACAACTTTCAGGGGAGTGCATGCCTCAACGAATTTTTTGAGGCGCAAAAAGAAAAAAGGTGGCAAATGAAAAGGGGCAGCAACTGGAGCAGGGCAGGGGAAACAAGATGGGTATGTGTCAAACACAATGGCATATGTGTCAAAACCAGCTAGAGGGCTGAGGGGGAACAACTCAATGTCTGTTGGGCATGCCGTGGGCTGTTCTGTGAACAATCAACCCACTGTAGCTTAGCATGATATGCAAAGAGACTGGCAATTGCTCTCTGCATTACAGGCAGGAGTTTTTCCCGCCCTATCTGCAAGGATGTCAGGGATTGGACCTGGGACTTTCTGTATGCCAAGCGTGAGTCATGGATGTCTCTGTAGTTCCTCAGGTCAAAAGAAGAGGTTGTTTTCTTATCATAGTGGCAAATCAAACGTAAATTAACCCACAATTTGCAGAGACATGCAGAACACACAAATTGTTTGCAGTTTGAATAGACAACCCATGGATGACCCATTTATAGGATCTATGTTACATTCAAACCCAGATACACAGAGTTATTTACATGTCAAAGAGAGTTAACCTTCCAATAAACCATAGGTTACCTCTGGTTTGTTTAACACACACTGTCATCACACTAACAACTGATGATAAGTTGTTGATCAAGCTAGACATGGTTCACACACATTTCACATACTCTGTATGGCCCAGAAAAACTTGGGTTAGTTTAGCCATGATTTCCTCCAGTAATGTGCAAACCAGGGCATTGTATCCTCAGAGGCTGAAATATTCTACCACTAATTTCTCGCCACTTATATCTTTGCATCCTGAATTTGTTAGAACTTAACGTGTTTGTTTCCACACTTGTGCCATTTACTGTAACTGAGGCATCACTTTTCCACAAATGGCCCAAGGTAATCACATTAAAATAAAGAAGAATATTCAGCAATGCCTTTCCCCATAGCCAAACCATTTATAACAATATCAGTGCACAGTAAGTCAGGTCCTGGAATGTTCCATTAAAAATGTATTTCTTCTAAGTTCTGCCCATTTATTTATTTCTGTTTACTGAGGTTTGGGAGTATGGAATTAGTGATTTTTGGCTCTGTGTGTATGTGTGTGTGAACATCTATTTTTACCTAAGGCAGCACCCCGCCCCCAAAAAAAATTGCTGAGGGGAAAAAAAACAGATGTAAAGGAACATCGTTTTGAAAGAAGTAATACGGCTGAGGCAGGAAATGTTTTCCCACAGCCAAATACTCTGCAGGTGCGAGCAAGGGTTTGGACTAGCAGAACTGGGTGTGACCACCTTGAGATCTCCAGATGGCTCAGGGTATGTGCAAGACCTTCACCCGCTGAAGCTCCTCAGCAACTGGTGTAAGCAGGCATGACACCTCTGGTAAAGGACGTAGCCACGAGTACCTCTGCTGTTTTTCCAGCTCTGTTATAAGATGGACTGATCAGAAGGCACCTAGCAATCTAAATGTGGACACATTATACTTACCTAATATAATGGCATTGTGATCCTGTGGCACACTCCTTTATATTTTCCTAAACCCATTTACGTTCCTATCAGTTGACATCATAGAAGGTGATAGGCCAGATATAAGCCCCAGTTATGCAACACACAAATGTAGCTCTCTGGTCTTTATAGCATGGGGGAAATACCCACAACAGAATTCTTTCTAGGTACATTTTGTGCTCCTGCTTTTTTGTAAAGTTTATTTTATGGGAGGAACAGTAGTTCGCTGGCAGAGCGTGTACTTTGCATGTACGGCATTCCAAGTTCAGTCCCCAGCATCTCCAAGTTAACAGCAGTTAAATACAGGAGGATGGAAAAGAACTCTGCTTGAGACTCTGAAAAGCCTCTGCCTGTCTGAGTAGGCAGTACTAGGCCTAACCTGGGAAAAAGCTGCTGGGAATGTGGCAGAGCTGGGAATGTGTGGTCCCACAGATGCTGTTGCGTTGCAACTCCCATCATCTCCCACTGTTGTCTAGGGTGGCTAGAGCTGATGAGTGTTCCAGTCAACAACATCTTTACCCACCCAGCCATTAACGTCACTGTCTGAGGGTCTTCTTCAGCTGCCCCCACCAAATAATGTGAGGTGGACGGCTACGACAGATAGGCATTCTCAGTGTTGGCTACCCATCCATGGAATGTCCACCCAAAGAAGCTTGCCAGATATCTATACTCTTTTTGAAACCAATTGCATCTCCCAAGCATTTTAAGAAAGGTGTTTAGTGCTTTTAGATCACTGTGCTTTCATTTGCTGCTGACTTTAATCTGGTTTATGTGCAGAAGTGTTTTTACTTTTTGCTGATCCTATCTTGGTCTTATTATGTGTGCTTTATTCATTTTTGTTTTAATATATTGTGCACTGTGCAGAGAACTTGGATTAATAGGCAGTTTAAAATATAACAGATACATATTGAGAGGTCTACAAATTCCTCAACCCTGGGCTAAGAGGATATGTCAAACTGCAGATGACGTTGAATGCAACTTTGAATCGAATTAGAGGGTTCAAAGGGGAGTTAATGATTACTGAGAGAGGTGTGGAGAGGTAATTTAGCTCTTAAGAACCGAGGATATGTCCTGTTCTGAAACTAGTATATGCCTTCATGGTGGAAGGGGGATCCACATTGGCATTCAATAAAATCAACTGAAAAGCAGATAATAAACATTTTAAACACAACTAGGGACACATTGCCACAGATTCAAACATAAAACAAAAGCACCTTTGAAGAAGAGGAATGACAGTGGAACCAGTTGCCTAGAGAGGTCATGGGCTGTAGTATTCAAGGCAAAACTGGACAGTCATCTGAGTGGGATTGTGTGAACTGGTGTCCTGCAACAGCCTTCATGGCCCTCTCCAACTCTACTATTTTATGA